AGCGTAAGTATGTGCCACTACTATTTGTCCTACAGAAAACGCATGCCCCTGCACATGCACACTTGTCAGGATACGCCCAAGAAGTGCCATACTTGTTCTGACCAATGGTCCATTTAGTTCAGTATTTTGTCTCTGACAGTTGCAGTAGTAGATGCTTTAGAGGTAGAGAGCGTACAAACAAGTTATATCCGAATTGATCTGTCCCCTATCAAACTTCCTGGCAACAACCATCATTGGTTTAACGATACTAGAGGATAAACCTCTGACTGTTCTATTTTTATAGCTATTAATGCATCTGTTGTCCATGAAAGTTATAGTTCCTTTTTTAACCTGGCTATATTATTTGCCTCTAAACCCTCTTCTGATAGTGAGTTATGTCCTGCAAAAAAAGTAGTTTCTTTTAGTTTTAAACCAGTCTCCTGCTGATATCAGTGGGTGCCTCCTAGTCCCAATGTTCTGGGATGTGGTGAATAACAGTTGTCTTCTCACTTTATCAACACAAGTAATTATTTTACAGACCTTTATCATATCTGCCCTCTGCCTTCTGCTTTCCAAACTGAAGAATCCTAGTCTTTTGTCTCTCTTGGTATGACACCTGTTCCATACCACAGATCATCTTGGTTGCCCCTCTCTGTTTCTAATTGTTGCATCCTTTTTTGAGATGTAGAGAGCAGAACTACACACAATATTTAAGATGTGGATGCACCATAGATTTGAATGGTGGCACAATGATGCTTTTTGTTTTGATTTTAATTCTATTCTTAATAACATCCACTGTTATTAGCTTTTTGGTCACCACTGCACGTTGAATTGATGTTTTTAGAGAACTGTTTGCAGTGACTACAATATCTCTTTTCTAAGTCATAACAGCTAGTTAAGAACCCAGCATTGTATATGTATAAATGAGGTTATTTTTCCCCCATGTGCATTAACTTGCGTTTGTTGATATAGAAAATTAGCTGCTATTTTTTTGCCTTCTGACTTAGGTTTTTGAGACCTTTCTACATCTCCTGTCATTCAGTTTGGGATTTGACTATCTGGAATAATTTCCTATAATTTACAGATAATAATATACAGTTCCCTAATGGGGCCCTACTTTTGACCTTCTGCCATCCTGAAAAGTGATCATTTAAGCTGAACCAAGCTGAATCTAGATGTTTAGACCTATTACCTTCTTTATAGTCAAATAGAACTGTCCTTTAAATGAACAGGTCAGCAAGCACCCATTTTATATGCAAGTACTTTATAAAACACCAAAATGATGCTTGCCTTTCCCTCTTCCTTTTTTGTTTCAGTTTGGCAATATTGGGGAAAGGGCTTGAACACAAGTGTATGAGCCCTTATTTTTCCCATATAATGGGAAGAAAAAAACCCCTATCTCTTTGGCTTAAGCCAAAGCTCATTAGAGCCGAACGTTTCTGACAAGATCTTAGTGAATTAGGACCACATCTCCGTGTGTTTTACACTTTTGGAAGTCCACTGACTTCAGTAGAGTTACTCCAGATGTGCATAATTGGAAGTCAGATAAGCATTAAACTTTCCAGCTCCAAGCAGAGCCAGATAGTGACTCTGTGACATGGAACTTTGATAGTGAACCTAAAAATAAGAAAAGTAAATACATTTCCTTTACCCTTGTGCTTTTGGAGAACCAGAGATTTGGACAGAGACTGTATACTGCTTCCATATTCAGTAGCTCTACATACATTTTACCAAACTAAAATGATTAAAATAAGTATTTTTCAACAGATATTGACAGAAGTTTGTAGATGTTATTTTTACCCAACTGTCAGGGTTACTTCACATTTCTGAAGGCTTTATTTCTTTGTAAATTTTAATGCAACTAAATGGAGACTATTGAATAATGCTTCTACTATTGTTCTCATTAAATACTTTTGGCAGTACTCTATAATACTTAGAAAGGTGTAGAGTTCTCATTCGACTTTTTTTAAGACAAGGTTCCATTTTAATATTTGGCAGCCTTTTTGAGGAAACCTCTAGTTTCTAGTATATGTAATATATACAAAACATTGGAAAGTTTCCTTTCTGAAAGAGAACACTATGTAAAAGTAGTTCTTACACATTCGAGGATCTCTTTCAAAATCATTTATTAAATCAAATGCTACAAATGCAGAAAATTATTCAAAGTATTATAAACTATATATTCACAAGATTATATATATATATAAACAGGCAGAAGAAACAGCCATAAATTTGCTCTTGTATCTTCGCCCATAGTTAGAGGAAAATGCAAGCTACGAAACTTGTATTTGTAATTTTTATTTTAATTTCTATTTCTCATTCAGTGGAGGGCAATTAATTCCAAATTAAGTCTCTTTATTAGTATTTCTGGACAGGTCTTGAGCAGATCGTGTCATAATACCTTGGGAAAGTACAAACATATTACTAGCCAACTCCCATTAAGATTTGAAAAAACTGTCTGGCTGAGATGCTCCATGAAGAGCTGTAGAAGCAGATGGGGGTCTGCCATTTTTTCCATTATCATACTGTATTTGTTAAAAATCAGTTTTTAAAATGGTTCTCTTTTTTTCATAATTGCCACATGCGTTTTTATGCAGTTACTCTTAACATAAAGTTTGTGACTTCCACAACTGGGTTCCCAGCCCAGATAATGGAGGTCCTTAATATACTTCTTGTTGCCAGTTTTCAACTGAATGAGAACTTTTTTTACTTGATTTTCCTCCAGGGAAAGATGTCCCCATTCTTTTGATTCTCACCATGACTTCTGTGAAGTAACTCAGTTAAAAATGGTTGGCTATTTCTTTGAAGGAGATTTGTGAGCAGCTGATGGAGATTCATGTAAGAGAAAAAAAGTGAAGAGCACCCTTGTAGTCTATCCCTTATAACTCTATAGTACCATGCAACCTAATGCATTATTTTCTGTACAAAGTATTTGACTTAAAGGATGTTATATAAGCTACAGGAAAAATCTTTTCCTTCGAAGTAACTGATGTGATATACAGCTTCCCTGTTTCAAGATGCATGAAGAACTCAAATATTTTACTACTTTACTAGCATGCAAATGAAACAGTGGCTATACAAATTACTGCATGCTATTACCATTGTTTCCAGTACAGTCACCACACGGAGACCATGTTGTTTCTTGAATGTACAACGCAGTATTTCATGGTAACACCACAAATGATGCATGTCACCACTGCATTAAGAGCTCTTGTGATATTTGGATTTTTGTTTCATTACACATTTTTGTTTACACTTTGATAGCTTTCCGAAAGCAAATAATAAACAGAAATGTCTGCTGGGCTATGTACATTAAAGGAAGAGTTAGCATGCTGTACGTTCTAGCTTCCCAGGATTCAGATCAGAGAGTTGGCCTAATTCACTGTCATTTAAAACCAGATGTTTTTTCTGGCACATTGTCTTGCTAAAACAGCAACAATATCCATCAGATGGTACTCAGGAAAGCTTGACTGAGTTAAGTTAGATACCATGAATAAGCAAGAACAATGAAGAATTGAAAACTGGTCTTAAAAAAAAAAAAAAAAAATCAGAAAAATAAGAAACAGTTTGTTTTTCACCTCTTGATGCTTTGAGGTCAGGAGAGGTCTTTAGCATAAATGTTGATGATAGGACTGGGAAATGGTTACACACCGATATGATACTCACTATTACACAATATATACTGTGCGCCATCTACATGTGCAATTAATGTGAAGTAATAAACTCCAGCACCTATTGCTATGGAGTTTATTGCTCCCAGGTGCACCGTTTGAATGTGCGCCTGGAATCACAGCACATTGAGCCAGGTCAGACCAGTCCCAGCTGGCACAGGGCCCTGGGGGTAAGCCCACCAGTCTAGGGTTGCTCCCCCCTGGCTCAACATGCTGCAGAGGGTCTGCTTGGTACATGAGGGTGCTCCAGTGTAGGGCTAGGCAAGTAAAGACAGTATAAAAGATGTGTCTTAGATAAATACACTCTTCATTTATCCACTGGAGGCTGGGGTGGCACAGGCACTAAGGCACTGTTGACAGCTCAAAGGTCATAAGACCGAGGCCACAGTAGAAGCACTTACGGTGTAACCTTGTCAGATTCCAATGAACCTGCAAATTCTGTTAAATAACTTGTCACAAGGACATGAGAAGAAAGAAATGAAGGCTTTATCCTATAAAACACAACTTGAAAACTGTTTTTTTTACCAAGGGAGAGTAAGTACAAGCCCAGACTTTCTGCTGGCATAACTAAATACAGAACCATCTAAATCAAGAGACCACACTGCACTAGCTGAGAATGCAGATCAAAATACTTTATGTTTGCATTGTATCACTCATTAGAAAAATTGGTGTTAAAAAAAAAAGGATAGCATGATATATGAGAGCTGTCTGCTTGTTGTGATGACAAGAACAAATTTTCCTCTTCCAGGTTGGGAGAAATTTAATCTTGTTCTGAACATCATACACATTTGTATCATGACCAAAACTTTTTCATACTCGAAAGAAAATGTGGCTGAGAGCAAAAAAGGACAAAGAGAATCCAGGGAATAGCTGTGAATACATTCTGAAAAATAATAGTATGGCTTGGCAAAACCTTTCCATGTAGACAACTCCAACAAAAATAACCAGAAACAAATCAAAATTTAGAAAAGAAAAGGAAAGAAAACAAAGTAAATTAATAAAAACTAAATAATGTTCCTTTCCCAAGGAGAAATTGTATCCTACAAAGGGAGAAGTGCCAGAAATTCCATGAAATCCAGTAGTAGGTGCTCAAGTTCTTCGCTGATAGGTGGCAGCATAACACCCTAAGACAGATAGCTGCATGGAGACTATACCAGATCTCAAATCTGGCACAATTTACATATTGTACATGTGTTTGCTAGAATAACACACAATTACCTAAATGATAAAATGATATATGTTCTTATAAAAGCTTTGCTTTTCTTCCCCTTCTGAGCCACGCATACAATTTTAACCTTCTGGTAGCATGGGATAGATTTATTTCCCTGATATATACAGGTTTATGGGGCCGTTCAAAGCTGCAGGCTTTTTTAGAACATTTTCTACAGAAGCCTGCTAAAATAATTTTCGACTCTATGGGTTTTATCACTGATATATTCTCTATGGGTTTCCCATACATGCTTTTACATTCATTTGTACTCCTCTCCCTTCAAGAATCTCAAGAGGTCCTCACCAGGGCCTTCCTTAGGTCAAAGGAAGTATGCCAAATCAGGCCACAGCCCAGTGCTAACATGAGCTCTTTTGTGTTACGCAGTCCATCCAGTGCACAGAGGTTATAGCAGCAGGAAATGGCATTGTCCCGTTGATCAGGAGGATTAGAGGGAATAGAAGATCTCAGAGATAGGAACAGGATTGGGGTGCTGGTTTGTAAAATAGCATCTGGTTCTAGAAGTTGGAATTAGTTCCAGAAGTTTTTACTGAAGTTTGGCAATGATAATTGTTAGATATGCATGTCTTTTTCTGTCTGAATAATGCTTTGTCCCTTTCTCTTTGTCTCCTTCTCGTGCATCTGCTCTTTTTTCATTTCCTTCCCAATTTCTCCAGTTTCATCTGTTTCTTTCCCGCAGTTTCACCTGGATTAGTCAGTCTTTGCTTTTTTCTTATTTCTGACTTCTTCCTAAAATATTTATAATAAACATTGGTCTCACATCCCTTAGAAAGCAGCACAGAGAAAAAATGCAAGTATTAAAAGACAGTGCTGTTGGTGATGCTTTTAATGGTTCAGGATTTTCCTTTACAGGGCAAAGAAGCAATAAGTACTCTTCATGTCAGATGTTTGGATCTGTCAGGCATCTCTCCTTCCCCATTCCTCTCTCATGTGCCAACTACAGATGACCAATTTCTATGTATTCTGTAAAGCTGTTTGAAGATAAATTTACCATGGCAGCCTTGACAGCCAGATATCAAAATCGGGAAGGTGCCAAGTCAATTCACACTGTGTATGTGGTTCTGGGCATGTGTTCTTTACAATTACTGTAATTTCCTGCTCCCAGTGGACATTTGTTTAGGTCATAGAATAAATGTTTAATTTGTGTAGCCTCTACATATTTAGAAAGGGCAAATTAAAAAAAAAAAAAGAAAATAATACATTATTAAATGGCAGTGCACTAGAGGGCACTAAAGTCTCCAAGATAGAAGTTCCCAACATTTTAACATTTGTGAAACTTAAAGTAATTCTTCATTTCCTCCAATACTTTCTCAAACATTGAGAAACAGTCTGAGAATTATAATCACTAATTTATATGCAGTTGCGGGGGGGGGGAAGTCTCTCTCTCTCAACTCATATACAATTTGCATATTCAATCTATAACAAACTTTTGAAAAGTAGACAGTACATATTTACCAGAGAAATGAGGGAATCTGGGCGCACACCCACGCTTGAACTTACAACTCTTTGGGTCTGGAGTCAGCACTAAACACAAAACAAAGGGAGAGAACTTAAAAGGAAAAGGAAGAAGAAAGGAGGAATATGCAGTTGATATATTTGAAATTTGGTGGAGTGTTTGATATGAAATATCACAAATCTCTCTCTCAACATATATTTGACTTGGGTTGGGTACAAACACTGTCATGTAGAGTGAAAACTCATTCAGAACTAGAAAGGTGGTAAGCAAAAGTTAATGATAAACACTGGTGGAGGAAGCTTTTTGGAGTTTATAACTGTATTCCAGAAGTCAGTGTTAAGACCAATCTTATTTAACATCTTTAATCATTTAAAAGAGGATGCCAACATGTTAATGAAACCTGCAGAGGATGATACATTGGGCATAACTAAAAGCATTTCTTAAGATAGGTCAATAATCCGAAGGACCCTCGAAATATTAGAAACATGGTAGAAAAGAACAGCTGAGAAAAATGCAAATAATAAATATAGTGAAAATATAATTCATGACCTGTGTACATATTAGAAGGAAAAGAACTTGGAAAGCAGCAGTGAAAAAGGATTAAGAGAGACAGTGGACTGAAATTTTAAACTGGATTTTAAAGTCAGCATTGCTCTGAAAAAGGTCAATATTTAGTTGGATATGTAGAAGCATATTGTTGTGTAGAAAATGAATAGTCCTTTTTCATAGCCTCAGATTACAACGTCAGTCCCATGTTTATGTATTTTTAAGCATGTGAACAGTTCAAGTAAAGTCAATAGGACTGCTCCAATTGCTTAAAGTTACTGAAAACTATATGGCTCAACTGTACCCATATCTGGAATACAGCATTCAAGCTTGGGCAAAAAAACACTGAATAACTGAAGGGGAACTTGTGAAGTGAACACAAAAAATGGAGGGCGTAGCTCTTGAAGAGAAAGTTAAATAAGCTAAATGTGTATAGATTAAATAAGAGGCTTCTCAAAGAAAGCAAATAACACTCTAAACACAATGAAAAAGGCCCAGAATACGTTCCATATTATTGGAGAGTTAGCATATATGTATTAATAATATATTTTTAAAATTCAAGGTAAATAAAACCATGACAGACCAATGCATTTTCTACATGTAATATAGAAGGAAAGCAGGTTATTGGAAATACATATGCAAGGAAATATTATGGCTGAGAGTAGGATTTGACCCTAGAACAGGGCAGAGCTGAAGTAATGAGGTTTTAAGGGATGCAGATTCAGGTTTTGTGATGTTTCAGTTTGCTAAAATCTGCCAGAGTAATTCATGGATGAACACCACAGAGACATTTTCCCCAAAACTTTGCTCCTTCTAGACAGAAACAATTTGTTTTTGGCCCTCCATTTTGGCAATTTGAGAGTTTTTGCAGCCAGGGTAGCTCTAAAGAACTACTTATTCTCAACCAGGATGGTCAGGACTTATGGGTGGTGTTTTTATGTACACAAGTAGAAATTTTAAAGACTGTTGGCGTGTCTACACATGCAATTAATGTAACTGAATAAACTCTGGTGGAGTTTGCACCAGTTTATTGCTCCTGGGTACCACATTTGTGCATGGACCTGGGATTGTAGCACACTGAGCTGGGGCAGAGCAGCCCCAGTTGGCAGGGGGGCCCAGCGGTCAGCCTGCCAGCCCGGGGTGCTTCAACCTAGCTCAACATGCTATGGAGGGGCTAGTTGGGGTGTAAGCGTGCTTCACAGTAGGTCTAGCCAGCAGGCAGCCCCCACTCTGAAGCACCCTCCTGATCCAGTCAGCCTCATCCTATACGTGTGTTGCAGTGGAGTAAATAACTCTGCCGTAGGGTAGTATGTGTATCTGGCAGTACTATCATACAGCAGAATTAGTTAGTTTACTCTGTCCTAATAGTACTGCCTGTGTTGACAGTGACATTTTACTGTGAAGCTAATTAGCCTACTCTGCAGTAAACATCTTGTATAGATGGGCCCTATGCGAGTCAGATGAGAGTTAGAATACTTATTTTCAGCAGCTCAGCTCAAAACAAGAGTAAGCCAATGCTTCTCTCTTCCAGTGAATATGTGCTAGAGTGGCACACTCTTGAGACATCTCCAGCCAAGTATTTATTGGCCACAATAGTGGTTGGACCCTGGATGTGGTTGGAGGGACATATAAAACCATTTGCCTGTCCCTTCTACAGCTGTGCCAGATTGTCTCCCAAGAGTGTTCTTACTAAAAAATAATAATTAAAAAAAGAAAAGAAATGAGGGGGAAGAGCCCTCAACTTTGCCCCTCTGAAACAGTAAGCTCAAACCAGAAACAGCAGAGCAGTGAATGGAAAAGAGAAGTAGTACTAGAAGAAAGACCAAGAAAGAAGGCCTAAATTAGAGGTGGGGGAAATGATTAAAGGGAAGAAGCTTAAATACAGTACTGAGTGCCAAAAATTCCAAGAGGGTTGGAGAGACAGAAAAGCAAAAATCAAAAGCAAACTAATTAATATTAGGTGGTGCACTTTCTTTTAGTCTTTTTGAACTACCGGTATATTTAACGATTGCCATTTGGTGTGGGCATGGAGCCACATTGTTGACAATATAGAGTTTGCAAGTTAGAGGCCATATGAGAAGCACTTATGGCGTGGCCTGTCAGATTTCAACAAATCAGTGAATTCTGCCAAATACCTTGTCCCAAGGACACAAAAAATGGAAAGTGGGATCAGTAGGTGAAGTACAAGTTCTTCTTTCAACTTCTTCTTCTATCTTAACAGCCATGTTAGAAGGGAGACCCCCACAAGAAAGAAAAGGCTGGCATATATTAACATTTAATTATTTAGGTCCAGGATAATTCTGGCTTAATGGATGTGACAAGGGGAACACTGGAGTGAATGAAACTTTCATGATGATGGGAAACTCCAGAGCATACTTAGAGCTTTCATTATTGGGATTAAAGTCACAGACAGATGGTTAGGGTTGCAATGTTTATCTGTGTCATTTCTGAATAGCAAGAGCCACTATCCCATAAATTAATGCTTTTTGTAGAAATTAGAACCTTGCACTCAAATGGCTGACTTAAATAAAGAAGGCTACAGTGGCTCAAATGGACATAATGCTTCCTTTGATTTTTGTAACCTATAGTAGCTATATTAATAGTTGTCAGCACTGGAAATAGGACAAGAAAAAAAGAAACACCTGTGTGCCTGTATGTATGTGGAGAGCACAGAAAAAAAAACCTTACATAATCCCAGATGACATTTGATTACTTGATATTCAGCTCCCACGAAAATAATACTACAATTGCAGAGACTTTATTCACACAGTCCTATTGTACTTCTTTCTCTGCTTGATGATTTGTAGGATTACTGCTCTATGTGAACATTAGAAATTAATACTGTATTGCTTTAGTAATTCTCTTTTATGTTATTAATATTAATATCTTATAATAATACTGGAAAGCCTTTCATCTCAAAGGACCTCAAGGTGCTTTACAAACTGTCATCTATAACTGAACTGCATTCACCTCAAAGATAGATTGCAGAAGTAGTATTACATTTAACAACACTACAAAACAGTTTAGGACAGGAAGAAAGGGATCTTTGTACCAATTCACTATTTAGCCTGCATTTTATGTAGTCATTTAGGACACTGTGAAGTGAGTGAAAAATAATTGCAAAATGCTTCCCAAATCAGAATGGAAGGTGTTTATAGATATTTTAAGTGGGCATAACTGATTACATAAGTTAGAGAAGAATGATGAATCAAGCTCTTTGAATACAGTTAGGGAGTTGACTGAAAACTACAAAAATCATTCTGTGGAAATCTGATATTTTTAAAATCTTTGATCATGCTGGAAATAGCCTGATTAATAGAGAGAAAACAAATTTTCAACTTCAGACTCATATAGGGCACTTGGCTTTCATTTCCTACCCTTTTCTCTGACAAATTACAAAAAAGCCTCAATATTTTTAGATCAACTCTGTTTGAACTTAAATCTCAGGGGAGTGGTATTCATGTGAAAAGCCCTTGGCCGTGCTGCATCATGGCAACAACAGTCCAGCCAGAGAACTGGACCCAGATCAGGTTTAGAGTTTAAGCCACTTAAACCTGACTCAGGATCACCACATTTGCCACTTGTTGGGAGGAGGCATGGGCAGCTGGAGGCAAGTGAGTTGGTGAAGAAAGGGTGGAGAGGGGAAGAACTGGCAAGTCTGGTGGGGGGATGCTAGTAGGTGTTGGGTGGAAAGGCTGGTGAGTCCATGGGGGTGGTTGGTAGGTCTACCATGAAGGAGAGGCTGCTTGGTCAGGAGTCTGGGGGCTAGTCATGGGGAGGTAAAAATAGCCTGCTTAGGGTTGGGGAGTGGGTAAGAACAGCTGGGGCTGTGGAGAGTGCTTGGGTTTTCCCAGCCCTGGGGCTGTGCTGAGAACGCAAGGGAGCTTTCATTAGGCTGGGTTAACCCTTACTAGGTTGGGTTAACCCCATGATGATCTAAAGTTAGTTCTTATCCAATGAGAACTAACTTCAGATTGGGCCTACCAATGTAAGACCTGGGAACACTTGCACACCTGGGCAGTTAGATCAGCCTAAGTTTGGTGACCCATTAAGAGCATTATATAGTTTTTCTGTGACTCACTTGTGGCAACCTTGGGTTTATACTCTTCAATTCAACTTTCTCTCATTTTTATGAAATCAGCATATATTACTTTATTTCATATTCTGTATTGAAATATCCAATATCCAGAACTCACAGAAAAGGTGTATTTTGTGCAACAAATTGGGGGGGTTATATGAAAACCTGACCCTGCAGATGTACTTTCTGCAAGACCTTAGGAGCAACAACATTTAATTTATTGGTCAGTCATCTTCTTGCAAAATGTCTCTGAAATGAAATCTAAAACATAGTAGATGCTCTTTTTTTTGCTCTTTTGCTTTCAGCTCCATCTATATTTACAAAGGTTATTTCATGTGGGTATTCAAAATAGTTATTTTTTTTAAAGATGTTTTCATTCTTTCCAGTTTGTATGATTTTAACTTGTTTAATATTGAAAAAAAGCAAAAATTAAATATACAATCT